AGGGTCTTTCCAAGGGCCTTACAGAAGGAAATGAATGGACAGCTACTAAGTGCTTTCTAGTTAAACAGAAATGTAGCTCCACTGAACATGGGTGGTGCTGGGTCTTCCTATAAATGGAGCACTTGTTTCTCTCTGTGAGACTGGAAGTGACCTGTAGAGAGTGTAATCCTCAAGCTCCAATTTGTAATGTTTGAGGTCACAATTTAATAGCTGAGTGAGATTTTGAACTGGGTCTCCTGGTGCTGGGTCTTGTGGTTCCCACAGTGGAGCACCTCTTGTTGTCTCTCCCCAGTGTTGTCTTGGGAGTGTCATTGTGTTTAAAAAACTGGGGATCAGATACAGAGCCCTTGCCTCTGCTCTGCAAGTAGAGAGAGAGTTTTAAGCCCACCCAGGGCAAGCTGCACTTGCATGTGCAAGATGCACATGCTACCCATGTGCATCATTGCTTTGTAGTCGTGCGTACCCCTGGCAAGGAGGCTGGACCTAATGCTTTTGGAGGTGGTTAAAGTTGTGTTTCTGGTTTTTTTTTTTTTTTTGAAAGAGGGTCTGGCTATATAGTTGAGGCTGGCCTTAAACTCACTAAATAGCCCAGGCTGGGCTCAGACTCACAATAGTCCTCTTGCCTCAGCCTCCCAAGTGCTGGAATTGTAGATCTGCACCACCATGTCTGGCTCAAGTATGGTTAAAGTTTTAAGGTGTTAGATGACCAAGAGACTGACCAATTTGTGAGGTGAAGCAGTTCAGAGGAGGTGGGAGATCAGTGTTTCCATGATTTCCTGGTATGTACCCTCCTGCCTTTCCTCCTGGAGGACCCTGCTAGCTGCCAAACATCCACACATTAATCCTGAGAGTAGGAGGTGTTAATTTTCTTTGGAAAGAGCTCAGGCAGGAAGTGAGCTGCTTGGAATGATCTTTGAGCAGGAATTTCTGCGTTGGAAACATTACAGTATCCACTACATACAAGGCACTGGAAGTAGGTGCCACAGGAAACTTAGTACTCCTTTGGTTTTTCCTACATTTGTATGCCATTACAACACAAAGTTGAAGGAGTATTGGTAGAAAAACGGAGTGTATCCCCAGAGGACTTAGCAAAAAACAAAATCAAAAATTAGAAGGTAGTCACACTGGTGGCACATGCCTGTAATCCTAACTACATGGGAACCTGAGGCAGAGGTATCAGAAGTTCAAGGCCAGTCTGGGTAATTCAGCAAGGTACTGTTTCAAAAAATAAAAAGGATGGGGGATGTAGCTCAGTTGTAGAACACCCCTGTGTTCAGTCCCCTAAAACAAAACTAAAAAACCCAGCTCAGTAGGTGGCGTCAGGGCAGGCTTGGTAGATGTGGCTACAGGGCTAAAAACTGCTAGCCAGGAAAAAAGGTTGTCAGAGGCTGGAAGACAGGTGCACGTGGTCAACATGCATCCTCAGAAGATGGGTTCTGGGCCTTGATGATCTTCTAGTTGGTTTCCAAGAGGCCCCCAGGGTTGTGCTGAGTCTGCCTACAGGACAGATACTCTTTCCAGGCCTGGTGATATACCTGTAATCCTGGCATTCAAGATGATGAGACAGGAGGATTACAAATTCGAGACTAGTCTAGGCCTCGTGAGATCCTGTCTCAGGACAACAGTAACAAAAGACTTTCATTTGTGAAGTCTCCCTTTAGCCGGATCAAGTGACTCTTGGTAATGTACATAGTTTGCCTTGCTTTTCAGTAGGCCTTAACTCAGAGTGGTCTGAAACTGGGAAAAGCAAGTAAGGTTCCAACAACCATGACTGGTGTGTTCTAGGCTTTTCGTCAGTGCTAGGAATACAGTTAGTGGGGCTCTTATCCACTGGTCCTTTGGGGGAAAGCGCGCATTGAGCAGCTCAACCCAGGACCGGCCAAGTAAGGCTTTTCAGAGAGGTGTACCTGAGGGTGGTCGAGGTAACCCGCACCACACATAGTGGCTCAACTCAAGGCACATCTGCATTTCTGCTGCTACCAGTGAGGCCTAGGTCCAGACCTTACTGGAATTTCACCTCCTGGCCAGGTATGGTGGCACATGCCTGTAATCCCAGCACGTGGGAGGCTGAGGCAGGAGGATCGCTGCGAGTTTGAGGTCAGCTTGGGCTATAAAGTGAGTTCACAGCCAGCCTGAACTGCATGGTGAAACCTTGTCTAAAAAAAATAAAAATAACAACAAAAAACACAGAAGTTCACCTCCTGACTGTTCATTGTGGCATGCTGTGTTAAACCCTGAGAGAGCTAGCCTGCAGCATGGGAGTTGGTTGACTTTTATCAAGGCCATGTTTTGAAATTAAGCTGCATAACTTCAAGATGGGCTCTTGGCTTGAAATCTAACTCTAGCTTCACTTCTGACAGCTTGATGTCTCTTTGGAAGTAGGGGGAGAGCAGGAACTTCTCTCTTTTCTATGAGATGTACTTGTAATTGTCCTCAAGGTGTGTCAGAGCCATTTGGGGGCTAGAGTTCATATACTCCCCCAAAGTGGGTGCAGAAGCCTGGGTTTCTAGAGGGCTGCCTCATCCCTTAAGAAAGGGCTTGGCCTATGCACCTAGCCTGTCCAGGTACAGCTAACCTTAACCCTGTCCACCCAGCATCTCCAGCAGTTGACCTTTGGTGAGGATCCCCCTATCATGGCTCTCCTGTCCAGGCAGGCTGCTTCTCATAGCGCGCTTAAGAAGAGCCGAGGGCTGGGAGCCAGGCACACTGGCACATGCCTGTGTGTAATCCCAGCTACTCAGGAGGCTAGGCAGAGGACCACAAGTTTGAGGGCAGCCTGGGCAATTTAGTGAGAATCTGTCTCAAAGTAAAAAGGGCTGGGAATGTAGCTCAGTGGTAAAGCACACCTAGGTTCAGTCCTTAACAAAACAAAAAAGTATGTTGAGGACCTGGGGCCCGCACCAGCACTGTTTGTGGCAGAATGTGTCCCAGAAGTGTGTGGATCAAGCTTAGGCACAGACTCTCCTTTTGGTGGGTCATCACATCTACCACTTACTTCTGGTGGTGCCCTACTAGGATCTTATGGAGCCTTTGGGGGGCACCCAGGCTTCCTGGCACCTACAGAGTCTTAGCTGTGTCCCCAAAGAGGGACTTGGTTTCATAAAGGTGCAAGTTTCTGGACTCGTCCAAGTCAAGCTTAATGGTTCATATCTCATTTGGTCTGAGCTCTTGCCACATGAACCTCAGAGTTCAGGGGTATGAGGCCTAAAAGGGCTCATATACTCTTAATTTATATCCTCATGTCTAGTCATTGCCCGGTACCACTACTGAAAGAGCTCTTACCTTGAAGGAGACGCCTTGTCTGATTCCTAGACCCTCAAAAAATGAAATGAAGCCTTAAAGCCAGACACATCTCTCTCTTCTTTGCTCAGGTGGAAAAACTGAGGCCCAAAGAAGGATAGTGACTAGCCTGGACTCTGGGGGTTTGGGGAAGGGATGGCACCCAGAAAAGGATCTTCTTGCTGCTAGGTCCTGCTTCCCTAATGCTGGAGCAGCCCAAGGTGGAGGCTGAGATTGATGGGCCAGTCAGTGAGCCGGGCCCCTCTAGAGTTGCCTTCTGTGAGCCCAGAGCAAAGGGGCAAGGATAGCTGCTCTGCCTGCCTTCCCTTCTGCCTATCAGTGTGGGCGTCAGTGCATCAGAATGTTGTCTTCCAGCTGGAAGGAAGGAGAGACACCCCTGCTAGCCTCTAGAGAAAGACCCTGGCACGGTTGACAGTGGCTCTTCCTGTCAGGCTGATGTCCGATCTAGGCTTAGACCTTTTCTCCCGTAACTGGCAGGATGTTGACCTTCCACCTTCTGACCCATCTGTTCTCCCCATCTGTTTAGAGCAGGCCAGACCGTGGAGAGTGACGGTGGTGGCAGCTATGAGGAAAGGGAGGAGCTGTGAGGACCAGATGCAGCTTTTGGGTTTCCCACCTGCTTTCTTCCCCTCTGCTCTCTTATGAAGTGATACCCACCCTGATGATAGCCGCTACTTGCTCAGAATTGAGTTACTGCTTTGTGCCCAGCAGTCTCTGAAAAAGGTGCCTTTAGGCTTCTGTCAGCACCGTGCCTCACCCCTTCACCCCTCACCAGTGCTACCCAGACCCCTTTTCTGTCTCTTGTGTCCATCTCCCTGACTTGGCAGCCATTTTTGTCTGTGCTACAGGAAGCCGCAGGGCTTCCTTGAGATTTCACAGGCCATCCTCCTCTTGGTCTGGCTTTATAAGGAACACAGATCACTGCCCTGTCCTCCATCACCCTCTTGTTCGTCTGTGCTTCAGCGTCTCACCTCTACTAAGTGGTGTGTTTCCTGAAAGAAGCACCTGGCACTGGCCAGGGACTTGGCTTTCAGAATACCTCTGGTGTCTCCTTGGTCAGCCGTCTGGAGTGGGCAGAAGCCACAAGGTGGCTGTGGTAGGATCAGAGCAAGTTCATGATTTGGGGGTGAACCTGGGTTCCTCCCACCCCTTGGCTCTGCCACTCAGCCTTTGTGTTCCTGATTCTACATGAGAAAGGGGGGCTGCTCTGGTTCTGTTTCATTTCAGCCCCTCACAGGCTTGAGAAGGAATCTTCCTGTGTTCATATTTCAGGGAAGGTTGGCGACATCGTTGCTGTATGAGTGCCCGCCGCTGGGGCCCTCAGTCCTCTGGCAAGTGGAGTAATTACCTTTAGAGAACCTCTGGGCCCAAGAAGGGCGAGGGAGAACCGTCTCTTGCAGCTGAGAGCAAGCTGTGTGATCCGTCCCCTGGGATCCCAGACCCGTGTTTTTGCAGGTCTCCAAACAGAAGCGTTCTCTGCTCTGCTGCTAGACTTGAACTGGAGAAAGATGGTCTTTGGAGGTCAGCCAGACCAGTCTCTAGTTGAACCCAAAGAAGGCTGAGGCACAGAACGGAGAGTGCTGGCTTGCAGACCAGCTGACTTCCACTTGGCCTGACTGGAGAGAGAATTGGTTTGGAAGGGCCTGTGTGTGCCCTTATCAGGGGATCATTTATGACCCACGTGCGTGTTTCCTTTGCAGGACGAGACTAGACGCACCCCGGCTGGAAACAAAGTCCCTGAGCAGCTCCATTTTGCCACCCAGCTATGCTTCAGATCGCCTGTCAGGAAGCAACAGGGACCCTGCTGTGAAACCGAAGCGGTCGCACCGCAAGGCAGATCCTGATGCTGCCCACAGGTACTCAGCTAAGGACTGCAATAAAAGCTGGGCAGTAGTGGCATGTGCCTGTCATCTCAGCTGCTCCTAAGGCTGAGAGAAGAGGATAAGGTCAAGGCCAACATGAGCCATTTAGTAAAACCTTATCTCAAAAAAAATGAGTAGAGCGTGGTGGCATGCACCAGTAATCCTGGTATCTGGGAGGCTGAGGCAGGAGAATTGTGAGCTGAAGGGCAGCCCAGCCTATATATAACAAGACCGTACCTCAAAAACTTAAAAAAAAAAAAAAAAAAAAGGGTTAAAGATGTAGCTTAGTATTCCCTGGGTTTACTCTGCAGTGCTGGGATGAGGAGGCAAAGTAGCCCCATGGCCTAGAGACAGGGTGGAATGGGTAGAAAAGCATAAGTGGTAGGTTGGTTAAGAGCCCGGGGCTGCTCACCCTTCCAAAATCTTATGTCTCATTGTTTTGTAATGGTGCCTTTCCTGCCTAACTCCTGGCCAGTTGCCTGTATCCCCAGAGCACAGGGGTCAGGCACTCTGACAAATGGCAGCGTGTCATGGCCTTCCTGTGACTTCCCTGGCTTAGTCCCACCTGAGCACACACTCGTAGGCTTATACTCAGGTGTTATGTCAGTACCTGAAGTGGGCAATCTTGGCACTGAGAAGTGAACTGGAGGCCTATTTGAGAAGGGTTGGGGAGGGTAAATTTTAAATAAGAGCAGAGGGATAAGGAAGGTGAAGGCCTTCTAGGCAGAAAAAACGGTGGGCAGAAGCTGTGAAGCAGAAAAAAGCTTGGTGGTTACAGGGGCTGTTCGGCTTGCTGAGCAGATGTGAGAGTGTTGAGGGAGAGTCGGGACATGGGTAGATGGCAGAGCTTGCAGGGTCTTGAGGCTGCGAGAGGGACTCCTTTATCACCCAGCAGACTTGGTAGAGTCCTGGGCACCAGACTGAAAGCCATGCAGACCCCAAAGGTGACAGGGAGATGCTTCTAGGGTGAGGAATGGCCGCTGACAATTACTGACCAGAATGGCCGCCCCGGCATCCCATCTGAGACTGGCCCAGAGGTGAAGAGGTCAGGCCCCTGCTGCTGATCTCTCAGGTGACATCCCTTCCCCCTTTTTCCTTGCAGGCCCCGGATCCTGGAGATGGACAAGGAAGAGAACCGGCGCTCAGTGCTGCTGCCCACCCACCGGCGGAGGGGTAGCTTCAGCTCTGAGAACTACTGGCGCAAGTCCTATGAGTCTACGGAGGACTGCTCAGAGGCAGCAGGCAGCCCTGCCCGAAAGGTGAAGATGCGGAGGCACTGAGGCATACTCACCACCCTCCTGGGAACTCTGGCTTCTCCTCACATAGCTGCCCCTCCTTTTGTTTTGTTTTGTTGGTTTTTTGTTTGTTTTGTTTTTAATCTTATATATATTTTCCCTGATTCATTGCCCATTAAGGCTGAAGAACAGAATTGACCTGGGTTCTTGTGTTCCTTCCTGGAAAGGCTGTTGGTGTTTGTTGGGGGCAGAGGCTTGTGCTGGAGGAGCCAGTCAAGGTGTGGAATGGCCAGCCATCTTCAAGTGGGGCTGGGTTTATTTAAAAGCAACAAAATGTTTTGGTTAAGAAATTTTCATTTTTGCTTTAAACATAAATCTTTGCAGTGTTCTAAACAAAGTTCAGTTTCCTGCCTGCCCCTTTTCCTCCACTGATGTCTGCCCTTGGTTGAGGTCTCCTGGAACCAGGCCGGCTCTGCATGGGGCAGCTTCCCCACCTCTGAACTGTTCTACATCCTCTGGAAGCCCGTGTGGATACCTTCTCTTCTTCCTGTGGCAGAACTGTCTGGGTTGGTGGGTGGTGGAGGACTTAATAATCCCAGCCCCTGCCCCCCCAAAGCTAGTGCTGAGCCCTCTGGGCTGCCTCCGCACATTCTCGCGCTGCCAAGGGGCTAGCATGGTGGTCCTGACTTCTCTTGCCAAGAGTGCACCTCTTTGCTGGGTTGCTCCTTTCAAACACGTGTGGGACTGTGTGGAAGTTAGACTTGCCATGTTGGGTCATTTTAGGAGTTGTTTCTAGCTAGAGGGACTGACGTCCTTCCAAGTCAAGCATTTGGGGTGTGGGAAATCATTGTGGTGTATGGTAGGGTTTTTATTTTCTTTTTGAGTTATTTTTTCCTTTGGTCTCTTGGCTTTCTCCTTTTCCTTTCCCCTTCATTGGTCAGCTTGGACCTCTTCCCTGTGTCACCCTTCAGAAGGTGTCACCACCTCTGTTTGCCTGCAGCATGCATCCAAGGCCAGAGCTCAGGCCTACAGACTAGGTTGGTACCTTCTCTGCCTCAGGGGCATGGGAGTTCAGGGAGGGGCTTCTAAACAATAACAAAAAAAAGGCGAAGTCTTGGCAGTTTCTGTCTACTCAGATCCTAGAAGGCTGTAAGGTCTTGCTGATCAGGATGCATTAGGAATGTCGTCTGGCCAGTCTGGCCAGGACCAGGGCCTATCAAAAACACAGGCCCTCCTGGGAACCGGGCCACCACCAGTCTGGAGGGCTTTGAGTAGAGTCCCCAGCCTTGAGACCACAGCGACTGCAGGAATCGGGGACAGCCACCATCAAGAAGCTCTTCTCTGGGGCCAGAACTCCTTTGCCAGTGTGAATTCCTCAATTCGGGACTGCATAACTAAAGCAGTTGCAGTTTTATTTTTTTTACAGCTTTTTTCCCAAAAATGATTTGTAGTTGTGTGTGCAGCACTTTGCCCTGATATGTGTGCTCTACAATAAAAACCAAATCTAATATATTTTGAAACAGTTGTCTGATATTGTTCTAAGAGAAAGCTTGCCTTTGGTGCTTTTTGATCCCTTGATCCTTTCATTTTGTTAAACCTTAAGCAGGGTTTGAGAAAGCAAAGCTCATTGCCCACCAGGACTCAGAAGAGGCATCCATCTGGTCACTGACACTCAGCCTCCCGATGACTGCAGGTGGACTTGTCCTCTGCCCACTGGCCACCTCTCCAAGGAAGATAGCCTTCATTAACTATGGTGTCCAGGGGCCACACACTCCTTGGCAGGATCACGGAGAGCCTGCACACCTTCCACTAAGGAAAGACCTGAACCAAGGCAGGGAGGAGTCAGCTTTTGTAAGGGCTTACATGTAATCTTAGTAATAAATTTCTTAGCTCCCGCTATATGCAGACCATGCCCTCACTGGAACCCCAGTAGGGGCAAGATTCTTCCAGACCCTGTCTTCCAAATGCAATACAGTATAGGGTACAGATGAAAGCATGAAGGAGGCATTGTTGGCTTGGGTGAGACTGGGGCCCAGAGAACTTGAGTCTGTCCTGATCCCTGACCTGGCTCCCAGGGCCTGGCCAAGAGCTTCAGCCTAGGGTTTCCCTTACAGCATTTCATTGCTCAGAGCCAGTCAGCTTGACCAAAATCCTACTGTGACAAACGTTTTTCGGGGCGGGGGAGGGAATTGGGAATTGAACTTAGGACCTTGTGCTTGCGAGGCAGGTGCTGTGCCACTGAGCTGTATCCCTAGCCCCCAAATTCATACTGTGGAAACCTGGACAAACCACTTAATTGCCCACATACAGAAGAGAGTCCAGAGGGAGCAAGTGGCTAGCCAGAGCTCAGTGTGAAAACTAGTGCCAGAGCCAGGCGTGGTGGCTCATGCCTATAATCCCAGCGCTCGGGAGGCTGAGGCAACAGGATCACAGTTCAAGGCCAGCCTGCACTATATAGTGAGACCCTGCCTCCAAAAAACAAACAAACAAAAATAAACCCACAAAAACAACCAAAAAACTAGTGCCAGGGCAGGAGAAAAAAAACAGTGTGAAAACCAGCGCAGGACTTCTGGGTGGTCTGTGCCTTGTGAACCTGCAGGGGCAGCGCAGAGCTGGGCACAGTGGATCCTGGATGCCTCGGAGAAGCCAGGCTGCAGCTAAGGGACGTGAGTAGCTGAACATCAGATTGTTCATGGCAGAGGTGAGTACATCTACCCCACGCCTGTTCCCCTGGTTCTAGGCATGGGGTGGGGGCTCTGCGAACAGGAACTCTTTTTTTTTTTTTTAAGTCAGACATTGGCTGGCAAAGTCAGACATTGGCTCTTCCCAGCCCATGGGTGAAAGAGGCCCCTTCACCATGCAGGGGGGACTTTGACTCCAATTCTTGCCATCTCCCTGACTTCAGTCTTTGGACCAGAACGGTAGCCTTTTGGCTTCCATCTATGTAAGGTGATAACCCTAGCAGGCCTCCCAGAGGCCCACACCTGCCTCTTGGAACCTGGCTCTTCCCACCACCTCACAGGGCACCACTCCAGGTGCTGAGTCCGATCAGTGCCTGTCCCCAGCTGTTCTCATACATAGCAGGTGACTCAGGAGCAGCTGGTACCAGCCCTGCCCATGTAGGATTCCATTTCATTCTGCCAGACCGATTATGTGGAAGGGGAATCCACAGCCCAACGAAGTGAGGGAGTAGTTGAAAATCACATTTGTTCATTTAAAAAATGAGCACGGCCAAGCTCAGCACTGGAGATTCAAGACCGCGGTATAGCGTCCTTTACACCTAAGGGTAGTATATACCATACTGGTGCAACAGACGTGTATATAAATTAGAATGTACAGGTGTGGGGTGTTTTGTTGGATTTTTTTTTTTTTTTCTTTTTCTTTTCGCAGTATGGGGGATTGAACCCAGGGCCTTTGCGCTGAACTACATTCCTAGCTCTTGTGAGACAGCGACTCCCTAAGTTGCCTAGGCTGAACTTGAACTTGTGATCCTCCCACCTCGCTCTCCCAGAGTGTCAGTACTTTTTATTATAAATTTCATCTAGCCAGTTTTTCCTCACAAAGTGTTTTCCTTGACTTTTTTGCTAAATTCTGATATTGTCATCTGCCTGTGGCTGTATGAGATTATCAAAAACGTGTGTTTTAATTTAAAATTTTATCTGAGTGTGGTGGCACATGCCTGTAATCCCAGCACTTGGGAAGCTGAGGCAAGAGGATTCGACTTCGAGGCCAGCCTGAACTGCATAGAGAAACCCTGTCTCAAAAAGACATAAATAAATGAATAAAATAAAATTTTATAGTAAAAGACACTTTGCTTTTAATCTCCTTTAAAATATACCCCCTTCTTTGATCAAGAACATGATCAAGAACATCGAGAGATTGGGGCTGGGGATTTAGCTCAGCGGCAAAGCGCCTGCCTGGCAAGTGCAAGGTCATGAGTTCGATTCCTGGGTACTGGAAGAAAAAAAAAAAAAAAACATCGAGAAAGTAGCTGTCCGACAGAAAGGCAGACTCATGGAAAGTGTACTCGTGAGAGTGTATCCTCTCCTGCCTTGTTCATCATGATCTGGTGCCTCGCAACTTCTGGCTCTTCCTCAGAGTATCGAGGTGGCCGTGGCAGTGCAACTAAAAACTTAAAGATGAGTTCCAGAACCACTTCAGAAAGCGGCAAGCACGCTGTGTGGCAAGCGCGTTGACAGTGGGGAGGATATTTTGAGGGGGTTAACGGCAGTGTGTCTTTTACTTAAACATTTTTTAAAAGAAAATTCACTGTATTTTTTGCTCACGCCAGGACATCCTTCCACTGTGCAGGAATGCATCCTACCTGCGGTACCCTTTTCCTTCCTTTCTGTTTTTCCTTTCCTTTCTCTCCAAGGAGAGCTTTATTTTGGCTCACATTGTATCAGTTTCCTGTGGCTGCCAAAACAAATTACCACAAACTTGGTGGCTTAAAGCAACAAATTTATTCTCACAGTTCTGGAGTCAGAAAGCCAATATCACTTACTGCTAGACTGAGGTCAAGGCAGGGACAGGGCCACGCTCCCTCGGGAGGGTCTGGTGGAGAACCCCTGGCCCTTGCCGCTGACAGCTTCTGGTGGCTGTGAGCATTTCTTCGCTTCTCCGTGCTCTGCCCCTGGGGCACATGCCTGCTGTGTACCACATTTCCCTGTGCCCCTCTTAACAGGACATTTGTGATTGGATATAGGGATACCCGTGTAATCCAAAATAATCCTCCAGCATAGCGATCTTTAATCACATCTGAACACCCTCGCCCCCCATGCTGAGGATGGAACTCAGGGCCTTTTGTATGCGAAGCAAGTGCTCTACACTGAGCTACAGCCCCGACCCTCTGGCCCTTTTCTCTGCATAACATCTCCGGGTTCCAGGGCTATGAACTTGATGGCTTGGGAGAGCACTCAGTTTAACCGCACTGATCTTTTCCCCATAAATTGTTTGTCATTAAATCTGATATATGACCTACTGGTTCCTCAAAGAAATTATGCTCTTTGGGTTGAAATTTCTCAACAATAGCACTACTCTTAAGTTTAATCTTAAGTGTTAATATTTTCTTCATTGCTGTCTTCACACCTCTCCTATCCTATCCAGAACAGTAGCCGCTGGATTTTATTTTACTATTGAGCACTTGGAATACGGCTAGTTTGAACTGAGATGTGCTTTAAGTGTAAAATACACACCAGAATTTGAAGTTAGTATGAAAAAGGTGCTAACTTCATATTGATGACATGTTTAAATCATAACTATTTTTGTTTAAATAAAAGACGTTATTTTAAATAAATTCCACCTGTTTTTGTTTGGTTTTCTACTTGGGATTTAGCTACTCAAGATTTAAAAATTTTTATTATTTTTTTATCTTGGGTGTTGAGCCCAGAGCTTCACTATGCTTAATGCAGCACTCGGCCACTGAACGACGAGCCTAGTCCCAGGAATTTTAAATGACTTGAAACGGCTTGAAGTTACATTTCCATGAAATGGCACTGGGTGAAGGAATCAACAACGAATGAACCCTGATTTGTGGTGTTTGCCAATTTCCATGATGTAAGCACTGTCGCGCTGGTTGATTTCAACATAAGGGCAGTGAGCATGGAGTTATGTCAGATGTGCAGTAGCACACCATTATACAAGGTGTGTGCCGTGCCGGGACAGTAAATGTAAAGAACTAGATATTTTCTGAACTCTGCTGACCGTGAATAAAAGACCAAAACATTAAATAGAGCATAGGACTGAGGGTGTAGCTCAGTAGTAGAGCATTTGTCCAGCATGCATGAAGCGCTGGGTTCTATCCAAAAACAAAAAGAAAAACAAAATATTGTTTTATTTTTTATTTTTTATTTTTTTTTAATATTGTTTTAAAATAGAGCATAAGGGCCAGGGATATAGCTCAGCAGCATAAGTGCCTGCCTGACACGTACCAGGTCCTGAGTTCGATTCCTGGTAACAAAAATAAATAAAATAAAATAGAGCATACACTATGGTAAATATTTATTTATAGGAAATGCAGACCTTTGAATATTAGCACCTTAGTTTTGAATGTAATTTAAATTTCATTTAATCTAACTTTTTTCTTTTTTCCCATTTCTGGGGTTCCTTCCTTCTCTCTTCTTTCCTTCCCTTTGCTACTGAGCTGTACCCCTAGCCCCCATAATGTTCACTGACTGTTTAACTGACTTTGCAAAAATCGGTGAAAATTGCTTGTTGAATCTTGCAGCAGTGGCTGCAGCATACCATTGGGTTCTCACTGGAGCCTTTTGGAGAAAGGATGTGATTAGACTTAGGGTCGTTGGGCTCTTGTGCTGAGTGCTAAGAAATAGCTATGCCCCGTGGTGCACGCCTGTGGTCCCAGGACTGTGGATCACAAGTTTGAGGTCAGCCTGGGCAATTCAGCAATTTAGCGAGATCCTGTCTCATAAATAAATAGAAAGAAAGAAAGAAAGAAAGAAAGAAAGAAAGAAAGAAAGAAAGAAAGAAAGAAAGAAAGAGAAAGAAAGCGAGCCGGGCATGG